GAGACGCAGCCAAGCCCGAACCGTAGGGAAGGCCGGCCTAGGCACTGGGTGATGTCTCCTGAACACATGGTACCGAGGGAGATGAATCTTGAGTTTGCATTTGGAGATGAAATTTACCGAACTAAAAAAAAAAAAAGAACATAAACCCTCAAAACCACTTTTGTAGCATTCTGAGCTGGGAAAAGTGCTAAAGCGGCGACAAGCCTCATCAAGTCCACAATGGCCTCCTTATCTACGCAAACGGCCTCAAGCTTTTGAAGCCACTTGTCCAAAAAGGAGCCCCTGGGGGAGGGGCCACCGAATCCCTCAGGGGGCTCCGCTTGCAGCCCCTGGTGACTGTGATGCTCCCTCCGCCCCCCCACCCCTCTCCTGCCCACTCTCCCATTTCCGACGCAGCAAAGTGCAGGCTCGAAATTCAAGACAAGTGTGACACCTACCTGTGAAAGGGGGGAACCGCCATGTTGAGGGTTTTGCGGCCCCTGCCAGGAGGCTGCGCCTCCATCCACAGGGTCGCCCGCTTGGTCGTGGATGGAACATTCACTGATTTAATCAAATCCAAAGAAGAGATCAATGCCCAATTTTGAAGGGGTAGAGAAGACAGTGACTTGGGGGAAGTCTTCCCACTTGGCAGCCCCTAATGCTCCCTGCCTGCATTAGCTAGCAGCACCTTTGAAATAGTAATAAGAGCTAAATCCGGCATAAAATCGAACTCATTAGCAAAGTTCACCAGCTGATTGCTTTGCATAAAACACGACACTGATTGGAAGTAATTAGGTTAAGCGATGGCGCTGGGGTGGTGCGTGTCTCTGCCTCCCTTTGCCATCTTTTCTCCCTTCTGGCACACATTGAGATCTCTCTTTTCCCTCCTCCAGGGTCCAATCTCCTTCAATCAGCCCTCATCGGTGATTCAAATCTCTATTCCCAAGCAGTAGGGCCGCTTCCCAGGCGCTTGTGGGCCTAATTCTGGTTTCTCCCCGGGCACACTGAGTCTGTGTACTGAACCTTCCATTCCCCACTTCGAAAAAAGTTACAGCTGCACCTTTTGACCAAGGCAATGGACAGTTTATTGAGGGTTCTAAGAAGTAATGAGTGGCTCTGATTATGTTAAAATCTCTTTTAATTAAATATTTTGCATTTTACAAAGACCGCTGCAGTTTCTCTTACTTTTTAAATCTAAGAGTATAGCCTGATCCTTTCTGCAATAATACTTTAGCTCATACCCAGAAAAATCAATAGGTGTAAAAAATTAAATTAAACTTGTATTTTTAAACTATGAAACAGTTTGGGGGAACACAAATGTATATATTTATATTACAAAAAAATTAAATGCCTGTACAGGTGTCTTGATTTCATAATTTACTTCAAAGATATTGAATTATCAATTTAAATACAAAATGCTACATTAAATATACAGAATAAGATTTAATACAAATCCTCTTAATTTTTTTTCTTTTCAGTTGGCTGACATTTTTTTCGAGTGTGGAGATGTATACATTTTTATGTCATCAATCTCCATAAACTATAAACTTCTGAATAGGAGGGATAGTTAATTTTTTTCTCTCTTTCTCTTTCTTGGTGATGGAAAATAACTGCCAAGGCCATGTTTTTAATAAATTAGGAAAGTCCGGGGGTGACGCGCCCGCGTTAAATGTCGGACATACCTTTCTTCAATTCATAGGGAGAGTCTTTGCACAGGTCTAGTTGAGACTGGCTCCGCAACATTTTCGGGTCTTTAGCCAAAGTGTCCGCTCGATTCAACACCGTCTGGTTTAATCCATTGAAATGAGAGCCGGGACCAGCGGTAGGGCCAGGCCCCGGCCCTGGGTGGCCGTGAAGGTGTCCGAAGGAGCCATAGTTCGTGTAGCCGGGATAGAAGGGCGCGGTGTAGTAGAGAGGCCGGGACAGCACTGTCCCGCCGGGAAAGGGACACTGCGCCGAGGGTGAGCGCGCGGGCGCCGGGGTTGGAGACGCACGGCTGCCTCCCAGGGCTTGCCCGCCCACGGGCCCGGGGCACGGAGGGCACGGAGAGCCCTCGCTCCCGCCGACCCCGTCCTTGACCTTGTCCGAGGATGTGGCGATCTCTGCCAGAGACCACAGTTTGGGCTTGGCAAGCACGGCCGGAGGCGGCGGTGGTGGCGGCGAGTGGATGACCGAGGGCCCTCCTGAGCCGGGAGGCAGCTCTCCAGCGGATGGGTGCTGGCCGGGCGCCGGCGTGCCGGCGGGGTAGAGGGGGGCCGCGTCCTCCGCCAGCCGCGCCGCCGCCTGCCCAGCTGGGGAGGGACCCCCCGCACGAGGGGGTCGGGGCAGCGCATCTTGGCGGCCCTCGGAGGGCGACTCCTTAAAATCCGAGTCGCTCAGGCTGCCTTCCGTCTCCTTGCCGGCGGGGCTGAGCGGCCCCTGCAGCCGATCGCAGCCCGCAGCCGCCTTCTGCTCCGCTCCTCCTGTGGGCGAAACCCGCGCTGTCAGAGGCGCAGAGGCCACGCGGCGGGCCCGGGTGACTGCCAGCAGCCACGGGGACCCTTGCCCGGGTCGCCAGGACCCATGCGCGCCCCCTCCAGGCCCCCTGTGCCCTTGGAGTCCCGAGCCACGCACCCTTCCCTGCATCCACCAACCTGCTTCGGGGCCCTCGAGGTCGCTCTTGTCCTCCGGCTTCCTGGGCTCGTCCTCGTCATTCTTCTCCAGGTCAATGTTCTCCTCCTCCTCCTCGTCCTCACTGCGGTTCCGTGGCGTCCACGTCATCTTGTTCTCCTTTTTGAGGCGCCGGCGCGCGTTGGCGAACCAGGTGGACACCTGGGTGAGGGTCATCTTAGTGATGATGGCCAACATGATCTTCTCGCCCTTGGTGGGGTACGGGTTCTTGCGGTGCTCGTTGAGCCAGGCCTTGAGCGTGGCGGTGGCGTCCCGCGTGGCGTTCTTCCGGTACGCGGGGTCCCCATAAGGGTAGGAACCCAGAGGCGCCGCGTATGGGTGGTACCCCAAGGAGCCCGCCATGCCCGGAGTGTGGTCGTAGGGAGAACCCTGCGGGGGACAGGCAGAGGTTAGGTGATTGGATGCCGTGGGCTTAACCGGGAATGCCTGAAACACCCTGAAACCACGTCCCGAGGTTCACGTGCGGGTGAGGCCAGCACCCCTGTTCCCCTAGAGGCCCGGCTGGCCGATCCAAACACAAGAGCAACCCCTCTCCCTCCCCAGGAGGCAGCAGGGGCCCCCAATTCTGAAGTCTGGTCCTTCCGAGACCCCTGAAGCTGTCCCGCGCCTGGCGCCACCTCGAAGGCCCGCAGCTGCGGGGTAACGTCGGTGCCCGGCGCACAGATCGGCCTCGGCGCCGGGCCCACCGTTCACTTTAGAGGCCTGGGCAGCCGCGGCGGCGAATCAGCGCTACCAGCCAGGGCCGCCACACGTTGGGGAGAAAGGGGGTACACGGGAAACCAAGGCTCTTTCTTTAATCCTCAAAGAAACGCACAGGACGAGCTGAGCCTTAGCCCGCACACCGACAGTCCCCAAATGCTATCCTGAACCGAAGCCATCGCGCTTTTCCAGAAAGTGTACCCGGCCGAAAAATCCCGGATACACCGCAGCTCGCTCGACTTTCCAGAAATTTAATACTTCTAAATCGGATTGCGAAGATAGGATTGCGGATTTGCAACATTTTGGAGGATTAATTAAAGTCGAGGCCAAACACATTTACATAGATTTAGCTCGCTTCTGTTCAGATTTCGGGTGTATTTCTTTAGTACTACTTTTCAAAAAATGGCAAAACATTAATCAAAAAAAAAGTAAAGAAAGGAATTAAAAAAAAGAAAAGAAAAGAAAAAATTTGCGGGCGGCCCAGAGCTTTGGACCAAATGTTGCTCTTTAATTGCAACGACCTCTCCCCTCCAAACACTTCCCTTCTGCTGGGCGATTCCAGCCAGACCTCCTCTGGCCATAGCAACTCCTGAGCCCGCGGCCCGGGCGAAGCGGAGCGAGACACAATCGCCGAAGTTTGCAGCGGCCGCAAGGCTTGGCGGGCGCGGTGGCGCCTAGGCCCGTGTCCCCCGCGGTCCCCCGCCCTCAGGCCTGGCCCTGACTACCCTAACCCGCCGTGGATCCTGCGCACTCACCACATAGGAGGAGAAGGCGGCGGCGGCCGCAGCCGCTGGGTCCGCGCCGTATTGGAGGTGCGAGTTGTAGCCCGGCGAGGGCGCGGTGAAGGCAGTGGAGCCAGCGTAGGGGGAGAAGGCAGAGCCCGAAGATGAGCGGCCAAGCTCATCCGTGCGGGGCCCCGAAATGACGCTGGTGCTGTAAGCCGGGCAGGAGTAGAGCGCCAGCGAGGCGGACGGCTGGTACAAGTAGCCCTGCGGGTAGGACATGGCCACACACGGGCATGGGGCGCGCCGCGCCGCGGCCGCCAACGAGCCGGGCGGCGCCCTGCGAGGGCGAGCGAGCGGGCACCTGGCCTCCGGCTGCCCCGGGCCGCCGCTCCTCCAGCCCCGGCTCCCGGGCTCCGGCCAGCGGCGCCTCCTCCTTGGGTTCCCGCGCGCCTCTGGCTGCGACCGCCGCGCCCGCTCCTCTGCGCGCCCCGCTTGCCCGGACTAGGCTTTTTTCCCCCCCCTCCCCTCCCTGGCTGATTTCTCGTTTTCCCCCCTCGCTCTTTGCACCGGGGGGCTCTGCTTTTGGCTTCGCAAAGGTCCTGCCAAGATGCTAAGTTGGAAATTGAGGATTCTGACGCCTTGTGCGCGCAGCGAAGCTCCTCCTTCCCGGGGTGTAGTCGGTGGGAGGACTGGCAGGAGCCTCTGGGCGGCCGTAGCCAACCCGGCCGCCAGGCGCGCCTCGCCCTCTCGCTGTTCCTCCCCGGCTCCTCTCCCGCTCGCTGGCGCTCCCCTCGCCCCTCCCTAGCGCCCGCCTCTCC